AGCATTGCCACCTTCAATTTATAGAGGTGACCTATGAAAGTGACACACATAGTAGATACAGAATTCAGATTCAAACCACTGTCTTTTGGGCCTCCCTGGTTGTGCAAGGGGTTAAGTCTCAGCACTATGAAGATATCCACAGCCACTGCAGCATAAGTTCGATCCCTAGCAGCATAAGTTCGATCCCTAGCCCAGTGCAGCAGACCTCTCTTATCTTGCCTGCTGCTCCCCTCAGCAGTGTATTTTGTTCCATCTGCCTGTTCTGCTCCCCACTCTGTCTCTGGTGAGCCCTCTCACCCCCAGCACCTCTGTCCTACACCCCAGCTCTCGTGTGCATAAATAAATACAACAAATCTTAAAAAAGAATTTCAAAGCCAGCATGCCTGAACACTGTATGACACTAATTATGGATGCTACTGTCATCAGTAGCTTCCTGTGTCTCAGTTTTCTCATCAGTAAAATGGGCTCACAGTAACAATGCTTACTGAGTTAGACATGCCAGTTGCTCCCAACTTCACATGCACAGAGTGAATATTATCATTACCTGTTGTGACCTACTGTGCCTAAGGCAGTGGGAGTGCCATGACATCTGAGCTGCCATTCTCAACCTCCAGGACTTCTGTCCCCAGGGGCATCAGCACCACCGGCAACTCGCGCTGAGGATCACCCTGTGGCTCTCTGGTCCATGGAACCTACAGATGGACACGTAGGTGGGGACAGACTGCTGGCAGGACACTGGGTGGGCCACTCAGCAGTGCTCTCCCCCTGGAAGGAGCAGCTGCTCCTGTTTATCAACAGTCCTCCTGGTGACCAGCCCCCCCCTTTCTGGTGACCCACCCAGACAGGTCTCCTCCGCACCAAGTTTGAATGAGACTTGTCTTTTTGCCTAGAGGTCCCTCCATCAGCCCTGGAGGTCCCTGCTGGGATCACTCAGGGTCCAGCCAAGAAGAGAGAAACATTCTAAAGGATCAAAAGAGGGAGGAAGAGTAGGAAGCCACAGTCACAGGTGATGTCACTGGAGCCCAGGGGTCAGGGTCACTTGTAGAAGCTGGAACCCTAACAGGCCTGTCCTGGGAGAGCTGGAGCCATGGAGAAGCAGCAGCCACTCCAGGGGTGATACCCAAGGCAGAGGAAGCCCCCTGCCCCAGCAAAGCTTCTTCCTTTCTGCCCCCTGGATGCTATCCAGTGCCCTCCAGCTAACCCAAGATCTGTCAAATGCAGGCTGGAGGGCTCACTGCGTCCTCCACCCCCGACACCCCCACTCAGAGAAGGGGGAGGAACCGTGACTGGGACTGGACTCTCTCTCCACCCTAGCATTCCAGCAATTCATTCAGTGTCTGG